CCTTTATCATCACTAAACGTGTTCTCGCATATTCGAAAGCGTGTTCGGAGAAACACGAATGCCGACAAAAAATCCGCAGAGATCAACGACTGTGACGATGAGCCCTCTCAACTCCCGCCGCCCTCAATTCCCGCCGTCGCAGGTGGTGACACCCTAAAAACAAGAAACCGACAGTTATGGCGATTATCATCCCTGTTTCTCCGATGGTCTTTTGTTGGTGGATGCTTGCGAGTACGACGAGTTTTCTGGAGTTCTAGCGAGTCCCATGTGGGTAAGTTGGCCTGTTATGTTGACCAGAGGCCGGAAGTTCACTTCGGCAAGAAACCGGCAGTGGCTATGAAGAAACAGAGAGGTTGTTACAAGAGAAGGTACGTGGTTGGCACTCTTCTTCGTCTCCGACCAATCAGTCTTCTACCACTGCAATGCAATCGTTGGCACTCTTCTCCATCTCCGGATATTCATTACAAGGCTGTAAAATAACTGCGGGTGATCAAAGTATATCACAGTGTATCCGATAGTTTTATTTTATGAACTGTATCACAATATGCAATTTCATTATTTTCCTTGTTTTATCACGGTGTATCACAATGGATTTGCTTTTGTTTTTATGGTTTGATTTGGTATAATAGTTGGTATCACAGTATATCACAATGGGTATCACATTGTGTATCTTTGTGATTATTTGATACCTGTCGGAATAATGTTGGCCGGAGGCCGGAGAGAGGAGTTTTTTAGAAATACCTAAAATGTTCTTTAATTATAATTTTAACTCAAACTACCATAATTACTAATTTTCTTATTTATCCGTTGATTTGTGGTTGAGATTGGATCTCATAGTTATCACAAACTAATCAGTTCTCCCTTTGAATGGGCCCCTATATATAGAGGTTGGTTATTATACAACCTTTCACATTTGTGCAACCAATACAACTCAATCTCAACCGTTCATTTCATTTGATTAATATGTGATTTCATAAAAGTTTTGATTGTTTTCTAATATAAAGTATTGATCATAATTAATGAATCATATTCATCTTCCATAAATATTCAAATMATAATAAATGAACTCTCATCATTTCCATAAATATCTCAATTTATTGGGTTGCATTCGTTGTACAAATGCAATGGGTTATATTTGAAACAAACTCTCTATATATAATATTTAAAAAAGATAATATTTGAATTTAGATATTTGGAACTTACAACTTTTTTTCATCAAAATAGGTTCTTCAAGCGACTAAGGGGTCATTTACCTAATTACTTATCCAGTAAATATTTATTGCAAAATTCAATAATATCATTTACTTATTGGGTAAGATTTTAGTTTACCAAAATGACATTGTATGCAATAATCTACCTGGTAAGTGCTAACACTGGTAAGATTCGCTGCCTTCACTTACTGGGTAAGACTCTTAGTCTTCGCCTTCGCTCTTACTAGGTAAGATTCTTGTCATTATCATATTCATCCGTTAAGGTAATGTGATTTGGTAAATATTTATCTAGACAAATGTTTGATAAATGACCCCTAAGTGTTGCCTATCACAATTTGGTTGGTATGTAGATTAGACTGAACTGGGCAAACGAAAGTGAAGTAAGACAGTGAAAGAATTGTGAAAGATTTTAAGATTTTAATTTTAATTTTAATTTGATATTGTAATTTAGTAATTTATCAATCTTGTTCTATCTCCTTTATTTGTATTCCACCTATTTTTGTAAGAAAAGAAAGAAAGAAATGCATTCATGTCCTAACACAATGTCACTCTAAATGTGAAACAACAAGTTTTTGTTCTGTCTTGTCATGCATACCAAACGTTTTCTATGGGTCTTTAACAGGTAAACGGGTCTTTTACCTGGCTTGAAAGAGTTGTCGAGGCTAGCACAAATGTTCATCCCTGTCAGTACTATGGATGTTTCGTGCAAGTGACCGTTCATCCGCTTTGTTTGAATGTTTGGACATTTGGTACATTTCTTGAATTGTACTCTAAGCTTCAATTTGATATTATTGGACTCAGCTTTATGCTCAAGATGATCAAATGCTCTTATAACTTGTAAATTTACCCTTGTAACAAAAGTTAGGGACAAATTTGTCAATTATAAAAATGAAGTGGTATAAGATATAGATTTGGGCATTAGAAAAATCTCATTCACATCAACAATCAAGATTACAACAATCGGCGATATTTATTAACATGAATTTTATCTGGTTTAAGTGTGTATGGGAATGATTCCGAACTTGGCAAGTTAGTCGACAAAAGATCAGATATTACAGTTAAACATATCCAATTTATAAATCACATTCTTTACATTTGAAAAACACCATTTATGGTTACAAGATATTGTTGACAATTTATTATGGACACAAACCATCCTTATTTGTACAAACCATGCAAACCACCCTCATCTGTCGATTTCATTGTTTAATCTTATGAATTTTTTATTTCATGAAATTGTTTCATATAATATTTTTTTTGATGAAGTTGCTTCATATATGGTATGAAATTTTAATGAAACTGTTTCATGTATTTATTCTAAAATTAATATAATGAAGATCATAATATCCATGATTAACACCCTCTACAATGAAAATTATTAATCAACCTCTTATAATTATAATAAAATGAACAAAAATAAAATATTATGATTGGTTGAATGAGTTTTGTATGGTTTGTACAAATAACGTGGTTTGCAAAGTAAACCTCCTCTATAGTGAGAAGGGTAAGAAATGATATGCTCCCTTTGATCAATCATAGTTGAAGATCAACACTAAAGCGGTGCACCGAAATGCAATAGATCAATTCATGTGATAAACGCAATTCATGTGTGGGGTGAGACTAAAAGTGATCAAAGGTCCAGATCTTTTCTTACTTTTTCACCATAACTTTCATTCTTACACCGGAAACAATTAGTACAACACAAATAACTAAAAATAACATTAAACCCCCTCCCACACTAACAACCACCACTTCCCCTCCCATGGCTTCTCATTTAGCACCACACCACCTCCCCTCTCCACACGTTGTTGTCATCTGCCTCCCTCATCCCTAGGGCTGACCCTGGCCACGTGCAGCCCATGCAATCGCACAGGGCATCAAAGCCTAAAGGAGCATCAAGTTGTCATTTATTACTAGGTTTGAGTTTAATAATTTGGGAATTGAACAATAGAGCTTTAACTATAAAAACAGACCCAATGCCTATTAGTAATGAATATTGAATGCACATCGTAGGAAAAAGTTGGAAAGTTGGAAAAGTTTTTGTTTGGGAGAGTTTTTTTTGCAGATGTAAGGAGCGTTTTTTTAGTTGGAAGGGTCATGTTTGGAAAAAAAAACTTGGCTTTCTATATAAAGCTGCCCCTAGAAGCTTACTGGATAAGTCACTTTCTATATCATTAAGCCACTACGAAACAATCATACATAGTTGAACGAATAAGTTGTTAGTTCCATTAAACTTATTAAGTTGCTAACATGTTAGCCCTTAGCCTTTAGTCGTCCTGCAACTTTTGAGTTTTACTTTTTGCTTACTATGACAGTAATTTGGATGTGGTTTACTATTTTAGTTAAAAACTAATTATAGTTTTCCTTGTCTTTTAAGTCCCATATATTGAAATAAAGTTTCTATTTTGCTAATTTCAATTTGGAAATGGGAAACCTGGAAAAGAATGAAGCATGATCTTAATCCAGAATTTATTCTCTTATATTTTGTATTTAGGGTTTTGGTTTTTGTGTCCCCCCCCCTTGTATTTTTTTATTATAATTAATAAAAATCAACATGAGGATAATATACTTAGCTTGAATAAGTTCTAAACTCTTTAAAAAATCGCATGTATCGTTGTTTCGTTGTCATCCCCCCGGACCACCGCCTACTAACCCGAGTAGACATTGTTCTTTCTCATGAAATAATTCTATAATGTTTTTGTCTTTTTTAGTATGAAAATTCAACAGTCTTTTTTTTAATGTTGTTATAGTTTGCTTTTTAAGACTCTTATAACAAATTTAATGCCTACATTTTGTATTAAACCTCAATATTTGGTTTATTATGAGAAATTTCCATGGTTTTGATGTGATTGGTTGTTAAATCTAAAAGAGGTGTTGGACAAGAAACATTTTTCCAATGATAAAGTTCAACATCTTATATGTCCAATCAACTTAACAACTTAAATCTCATGTTTATTTTTAATTTTAAATGAATCTGATTTAAGCTATTAAATAGAAATCTGTATAATTCAAGATTCTATTTTCCAATATATTGTCGTGGTTTGAAAACAGTACAACTTTATTTCATTCTTTTTGAAATTGGGTTTTATATGGTCCAACTGATACACATGGTCGAGTAACATCATGATTGGCATCTTCCATTTGATTTGAAGATACGAAAACGATGGTTTATAAGAAGCATCACAATAAGCTTTCGATTATACCATCAACATTTTTCACAAAAATATCAGGTCTTTTTTATGTTGATTCTTTTCTGTACGTTTACGTTTTCATATTATATAAAAAAAACGTCATAATTGAGATATAACTGAATCTCATATATAATAGTTCGACAAATATATAAAAAGGGTTTCTTCTTATGATTCAAATAAACACGTATTTTGACAGATATTCACCGTAGTCAATGAGCATTTCAAATTTTCGATACTCAAATTCTTAAACCGAATAAACACTGGTTTGAGAATTTGAGATCTAAAAATGAGAATAAGGTGCCGTTTACCAAATGTTTACCCGGGTAAGCGCTTACCAAGTCACTTTACTTTAACGGATGAATATGTCAGGAACTAAAAATCTTACCCGGTAAGAGCAAAGACAAGAATCAAAAGTCTTATCCGGTAAATGAGGACGAAGACTCTTACCATGGTTAGCGCTTACCGGGATAAATTGTTGCATACGATGCGTTTTAATGAAAAAAATCTTACCCAATAAGTAAGAGCTTGTATTGAATTTTACCGGTAAATACTTACTGGATAAGTGTTTAGGTAAACGGGCCCTAAGATTCTAGAAATTAGAACAAATGAGGTAAACTTTACTACATAAAAACAAAATATTATACACAAAGAAAGTACAGAAATCCCCAAAAATAAAACTAAAAATCTTGCATCATTTGCAGATCAAAAAACCAGATCTTGCTGTTGATGAAGATGGAGGACACTCTACAACAAAGAGATCACAAAACTGTCTCTTTGTGTTCTTCCCCTTTCTTACTACCAATTCAAATCATCATCATCATATCATAATCATAATCTAATACTTGCAGAAACATGGCTTCAAATATGCAGCCAAGTTTCTGCCACATAAAACCCTAAAGAATCAAGCTTCATCCTTCCAAAAGAATGGACTCATCTGTGATTCGAAAGAAGAGAAATCGTAATTCCCCTGTTCTTGTTCTTGCTGTTGCTGGTTTTCGAGATTAAAATTGGAAGGGAACATTAGATTGTTGTTGGAATCAAGAGAATCCCACATGGCACTCCCTGGACCCCAACCGGAATTGTACCAGTTCTCGGCCATTTCCCCCCACGCCGGATCGGAATTCGCCTCTCCGGTTACTTGGTCCCCATGGAATCCCACTTCCACACCTTCATTCTCTGTCACAGTTTCCTCAGATTCCTTCAATTTCACCGTTTCTGTAGCGGTTTTACCGTTGTCTTTCACTAACTCCGTCGGAGGAGGAGATGAAGAAGATGAACTCTGGCCGGCGGAAACCGACTCATTCTTTGTTTTCCCAAGGAATCGCTCCGGGAAATTCAACCGGGCGTTTTCGCCACGTAACTTAAAGGCCTCACGGTCGTAAGCCATGGCGGCGTCCTCCGCCGTGTCGAATGTGCCAAGCCAGAGACGGGTGCGATTTCGTGGGAGACGAATTTCCGCCACCCATTTCCCCCAATGCCTTTGCCTCACCCCCCGATATAATTTGGTGGTGTGAAGCGGCTGAATTGGAGGCCGGATTTTGTTCATCATCATCATCCTACCTCTAGGACTCAAATTCAACGCATCACTCCAGTACTGGAGTAATTGCTGCTGGGATAAACCTGAATTCTCGCCGGAAAAATATGGCGGGAACCCAAAATTCTGGTGGATCATTGGTGGTTGTGGGTGGTGGTTGTAATGTTGTTGGGGATCAAAAGAAATCATTTGCGGGTTCGGTGGTGGTGGTGGGTAAACAGGATTCAAATGGGAATTCGATCTGAATTGCTGTAATGATTCGATTGTGTGTAGATTATTTCCATCAAATGCAAAAGGGAAGAGTCTTGAAGAAGATGAAGATGAAGAAGAAGAAGATTGATGTTCAGGGCTTCTGATTTTCTTGAGAGGTCTACTGTGTGTGTGTGTGGAAGCTTCATCAAAAACTTGCTTCCATTCTCTGGTCTCATCGAAACCCATTTGATCAAAGTCCATCTGTGTGAAATTCCGAGTTTCTTCCATTGATTTTTTGGATTTCCCACTGTTCCGAGCTGCAGCCATTGATGAAATAAATACTCACAATCACAACAAGAAAAACAAGAAAACAAAATCAAAGAGGGTTTTTACCGCTCGCTCTTCAACAATCACTGAATCAAAGCACCAAAAACAAGCTTTAAATCCAGATCTAAAAAGAACCCAATTGAAAAAACCTATCAAATTGCAAAACCCAGATCTTAAATTATCAAAAAGAGAGAAAAACAGATTCAATCGAAATGGGTTTAATCATAAGAAAGCAAAACAGTGATGAAGAAACCATGGATGGCAAAAACACAATGCATTCCTTTTGTTAAAATCGAAGAAAGAGAGCGAGCGGCTTAAAAATGAAGAATCGAAAAGAAAAATTGTTGTAATTGTGAATGATTGATTGATGGATTGAAGGTAACACAGAAGTGGAACAGAGGAATGAAGTAGCTCATGAAAAAAGCAGAGGACTTTGTTGGGTGTGATGAGAGTGAGTGTGTGTGTGTATGTGTGTGTTTGTGTGTGTTTTAGAGAAGGGTGGAGGAGGTGGGTTTATAAGAGAGAAGATAAAGATTTGTGTTGGGACCCACACGTTTTTTTTAAAAAGAAATTCAAAGTTCCGTTGCTTCTGCTCTAACCTTTCCTCTGGTTTCTTCCCTTCCACCTTTGAATTGTTAATATCTTCAACTTAAAACCATTTGATGCATATTTGAGTTGTAAACTGATTCGATGCGTTTTCAGTTGAATTCCATCGTTTCAAAGGATTTTTAAGGTTTTTTTGGTTGATTTTGAGGTATTCTTAAGTTTCTTATTAATGTGTATATTACAATATTATAACTAAGGGGTACTCATGAGTTGGATTGATCGGGTTGAAAACATTTGAATAACAAACCTAATGATTACTGTTTGAAAAATCTTAACCCGACCCAAACCAAATCGTACGGGTTGGTCAGGTTGATAATTTGGTACATTAAAAAATATTCTTCTAACCTTGAATATGTTATTTCTCTACTAATAATTTCTTTTTCATCATCAACCATCTGATACAATTTATTCATACTTCTTACGTATATCACATTCAGTTAATTTTCTCAATCTACATATATATGTTCACAGTTACTGAACATATAGACATATGAGTTATGTAAAGATGTGAATAGATTGAAAATATGTATATGTGAAGAGCGTGCGTGATATTGTAATTGTCTAATGTATATATTAATAGAAATTCAATAATCATATTAAATCCAAGAAAATAAAATGATATCGGGTTGGGTTGAGTTCAAATAATAGTAACCCAATTTCAACCTAATACCTACGGCTTGAAAATTTTACAACTCGATTACCATCGGGTTGCTTCGAATTGAGTTATTTCGCGTTGGATTGAGTCGGATTGGTTGAGTTTTTTAGCACCCCTACAACATCACCCTCTTCATAAACAGTAGGTTACTTTATCTTTAAAAATTTTCCTTAAAGAAACCCTAAGCCATAGAATGTTTTAAGAGGGTATCTTTTAGTTCTGACGTTGATTCTGATAGAGCACTTAGAAATCAACATAGATTTTCTTTATGTAGATCCACGTACAAATCCTCTTTTAGCCTCTATCGGGTGTTAGCTCAAAACCCTAATCTATCATGTGTTTCTATAGAAAAGAAAGAAAATGTTTATTTTCTATATTTTTGGTTCACTAAACCTAAAAGATGATTTTATCAACCTTTTAGGCTTAGGTTTATCTGTTTATTTATAGTTAGTTTCTCAGAGGTATAAACTAACTATAAAACGGGTTGAGTTTGTGATTATCCTTTTAAGTCCATAAATAAAATAAGTCCATAAAGGTTTTATTTTGATTTTATTAATCATAATAGAATTAATGCAGAAAATACATTTTATAAATAAAATATTGCAAGTATCATAATTACATTTTTAACGCATACGGTAAATTACTCTACAAGAATAATTATTTCAACAATCAACATAATATGATTCAGGTTTCTAGTGATAGAAGCATGTGTATTCTTTGTAGATGACTGTTAGTCCCGAAGGGCAAGGCAATAAGCAGAAAGTAATTGTAGAAGGGGGGGTTGAATACAA